GTCAATTATTATTGAAGTTTTTATTAAACGTCTAATTTTGAGAAATTTCTGAGCTGAGATATGGCATCTATGATTTTTGCAGTCAGTCAGAGCAAAACATAAAATAACGGAGTCCTATGGAACTTTACTTGACTACACAAAAGAAGAGCAACTACTGAACAACCGTGAACTCACGCGCCCTCTTCAGCTACTACCTGCAATGTCAGATCCTGACACTAAATAAGTGATAGACATACGTGAAAAACATTACCTAATATATGGAAAGTGTGGACATGTAATAAAAACTGTCTACAATGTATTAAAACATTCTAATAAATCATTACATTGGTAGCATACACTGAGTAAGCAAAAGGCATGTGATCAAGCCAGTTTGCAGGGGATTGCGCAAATCTGACATGAGGCACAGCTCGGTACTGCATCACCTCGCTTCCTACACTGTAATTGAACATTACAAATGCAAAATACAGCGATTTTCATCATAAAAATGATTGAAATAATACGAATCATACAGAAGTTGCGTTTATAGCACAGATAAGTGGAAAAATATGTATTTTATCATTAGTTTATATCTCATGATGGCAGGTGAGGATGATGAAAGGTGAGGCGCTGCCTCCCCTGATCGCATGTCCCAGCTGTACAATGACATTGATAATTTTTCTCAAAAATATTAAATAGCACCAAATACATTTTAATAAAGTTACAAATGTAGTAGGCTGTACCATATGTTTACAGTACCATGTTTACACTATGTTTAGCGTAACATCAGTTAAATGCTTTAAAATTGATTAATGTTATATATTAACTAACTCTCTTTTTTAAAACAGAGCCCTATGGATTCTTACGTGAAGGACACACTTCAGAAGTGGAATTTGGAAACATTAATTGACAGGTTTGCAGGTGAAAGATAATGTAACAAATTTTGCTCAAAATATATATTTAAAGTTGTAAAAAAAATTGTAATTTTAATCTTTAAATTACATAATATAGTTAACATTTATTTTAGGATTAAGAAATACATTTTTAACCTTGCAATAGGCCTAGTGTGTACATTAACAAAACATTCATTATTAAAAATGATTGATGAATTTGTACAATTATTTAAGGTAACATCTACTCTAATATTTTTGGCTGTTATTGTAGCAGTAAATATAAGCAACAAAAAATATTTAAGACTTTTTTTTAATAATATTTAGAATTTATAGAAATATAAATAATATTCTAGTATAATTACAGTGGTCAATATCTTGAGCTAGTATAACAACAAAAAAAGCTGAAAATAACAGTCCAAAAATTACTACACTCAAATTTCTAAGATATGAAAAAAAAAATTAAATACAAGTTTTAAAAAGAGGAAAAAAAATCAATGAAATATATATATTTTGTTGAAAATGTCTAGTTTGTAATTCTTTTTGCAATATTTTGTTTTTATAACTGTTGAATAAATCCTTTTTTTCTCAAATGCCCTAAAATGCATTGCCTATATTCACAATTTTTTTTTTATTAAATTTAAACAAAAATGTCCATATTTATGCTGAGCACTGTATGTTTATTCTTTAAAAATACTTTATAAATTTAAAAAGCTATTTTCAAAAAAAAAAAAAAAAAAAAAAAGAGTAATACAACGCATTTGAAGAAATGAAACATGTAAATTTGTGCAAATGTGTAAATATTGTGTGTAATAAAATAATAATGAATGCTTTAAGTTGCAAACTAAACTTGCTATAAATTTTTTAAATATTTTTTTTGCCTATTGCCTATTGAATTTACCAAGTTAAATCATTACCAACGCAAAAATAAAACTATTGGTCATTAATTTATATTTCTTATTTTTCCTTCTCCAGAGGAGGAAATTGATCAGCAAAGCTTTCTGCTCCCTGATGACTGCACGATTACAGCACTTATACCAAGAATTGGCCTAAGATTAAAGTTTATCCATTATTTCAAGCAGTTGTGTACTGTAAGTAACTAAACAATGCCTGTCACATGCTTCAAATGCAAAAATTCCACTCCAAACTTCAAAGACTATTTCCGCCATCCTAATACGGTGCATGGCAACAGTTCGTCCAATTTTTTCTGTTGTGAAAACAATTGAGGTAGAACTTTTGGATACATGTGGTCATTCAAAAGACATCTGTTGAGAGATCACATGCAAGCAGATGACAGACCAACAGAAGAAATCTTTTCACCTACTTCTGAAGTTTCACATCAACATACTGCTCCATTCACAAATGTTTCACATCAACATGCAGCTTCATCCACACCTTTAGACGCTGAAGATACTGAAGTTGTGGAGACACAGGAAGAGTAGGATTATTTTGACAATGAAGAAATAACTAAACGTTTAGCCTTGTTTCTTGCAAAGTTAAGAGAAAAATCTTCCCAAACATATTCTGCCATCAACTTTGTGGTGAAACAAACTGCAAGTTAAAATACAGAAATAGTAAGTGGTCTTTAGGAGGAGACAATGTCTTTATTTAAACAATTAGGACACCAAGATGAACAAGCAGTGAAAACCCTAAATGCTCAGTTTGAGAGGGCTTCTGAGCCATTAAGAGACATTGAAACCGAATACAAACAAATGAAATACTTCACAAAAACAGGGTGTTTCATTGACCCTACTGTTGAGTGTTTTTCAGGGATTTCTTATTGTCAGCGGCATGACTCTGCATGCGGCATGGTTAAGCAAACAGCAGTACCCGACTCATTTCAGTACATTCCACTGGGTCCACTTCTAAAAAAGGTTCTTGAATCACCTGGAACAATGAAACTCATCATTGACTATCAGAACATGAAGCGTGATGATGGAGTGTTTCAAGACTTTAATGACGGAGAGCTTTACAAATGCCACCCCTTGTTCTCCAAAGAGCTTTCTGTACCACTTCTGTTGTACAACGATGATTGTGAGACTGTTAACCCCCTGGGCTCCAAAACTATAGTACACAATATAGGACTGATATACTTTCAGATCAAGTGTTTGCCTCCCATGCTGTTATCGTCCGTCTTCATGCTTTCTGTTAGCTGTCTACAAATCAGATGATGCTAAAACATATTGCATCAATTCTGTTCTTTAGCGAATAACTGATGATATTATGGACTTGGAAGTTGGGGGACTTCTTATTGACACTCCAGAATATTGTGGCAGTGTTAAAGTCAGTGTGGCACAAGTTACTGGTGACAACTTGGGACTAAATTTACTCCTTGGCTTCTCAGAAAGTTTCAAAGCTAACCACTGCTGTCACTGGTGTAAAGTAAACAAAGAAGATATGTGGAGGCAGACTGTTGAAGACACAAAAATGCTGCGCAATGCTCAGAATTATGCTGAGGACTCGTCATCCAACAATCAATCAGAAACAGGACTCAAACGAAAACGTGTCCTGGATGATTTAAAATACTTCAGCGTTGTGGACAATGTAGCCCCAGACATTATGCATGACATTCTTGAGGGAATTGGACCTTACGAAGTCAAGTTGGTCTTGACCTCCTTGTTTGCTGAAGGTCCTGTGAGTTTAGAAACGCTCAACTATAGATTGACAAGTTTTGATTATGGATTCCCAGACAGCTGCAACAAGCCTACTGTGCTGTGACAACATGAACTGAAGAACCCTTATGGGGCAATGAGACAGACTGCTGCTCAAATGTGGTGCTTTTTAAGGTTTTTGCTCATCATCATTGGAGACAAAATTCCAAAAGAAAACAAACATTGGGAATTGTTACTTCTTCTCCTGTCATGTATGGAGTTCATTTTCTCCCCTCTATCACAGCAGAAGCCACCTTATACTTGAAACATCTAATAGCTGAATACCACACTGCATTCATGCAGCTTTACCCGGACAGAAACTTGAAACCCAACCATCACTTCCATCTTCATTACCCGAGAGCTATTCGGAAGATTGGTCCGTTAAAACAATTTTGGACAATGCGCTTTGAGGCCCGACATAATTTCTTTAAGCAGCTGAGCCATGTAGTTTGCAATTTCAAAAGTATTTTCAAAACTATGGCATTTAGAAATCAGATGATGTTGTGCTACCGTTTACTGTCAGAAGGCATTTTTTTCCAAAAACACAGAGATTGGACAAGGACATGGCTAATTTCTTTCTGCAGTTGAGGGAGAATTTGTGAAGGGTCTTGAAGAACTCCCATTTGCTGAAGTTTATGTTCCCGAATGGGTAGTGGTTAATGGCACACAGTACAGACCAGGCATGACCATTACAACCGGATGCACAGAAGACGGAGTACCTCAGTTTGGACTCATAAAGGCAATTGTAGCTGGTGGGCTCAATGTTGATGTGAAACTTATTGTGAAGAAGTGGCACACTGTGGGTTTAGAGCGTCATTACTTCTCATACGCAGTGTCCCCTAATGAAGCTCTTGAAGCCATCTCTGTGAACTTACTGTAGAGGTTTGCATTCCCGCGGGCGCCGCAGGACCCGACCAGATTTCTGCGGCGCAGGAATAAAATTTCCGAATAAATCGTGGGAGCGGTCGGTAACGGGTTTAATTTGGGACGGGAGCGGGCTGTCTAGCAATATCGCGGATATTGCTATGCAAATGGGAGAGAGAGAGCTTTGCCTGTGTGTGTGCTTGGTGATTGTGTGTGTGTATGTTAGTGCGCGCGAATGAGAGAGAGAGAGAGAGAGCTTTCCCAGATAGCAAAACACACGGGCCAGTTCCGGCTAGATTCTCGCCTGCCGGGGACTTACCACTTGTCCCGGCTCCGGCTGCCGGCCAGATCAATCAATCGGGCCAGATACGGCTGCCAAAATGCCCCATTCACACAGGGCTTCAGCGTCAACGCTTGACTGAAGGCGTGTCTGAAGTTGGGGCTGAAGCGATCGTCATAAAGCGTCAGCCAATGAAATTCAGTCAGCAATAGGTCACTGTCTGAGCTGGTGTATTTGCATACAGCGATCTGATTGGCTGACGCTTCCATTGGCACTTGAAAAGTTGAGCTAGTCCCAACTTCTGCAGCGAGCAACGCCTGTGAAGCGGTGCCGACAGATCCACAATGCAGTTCGGCAACGCCTGACGTCACCCATTCAAAGTGAATGGGAAGCGTTGACGCTGACGCCCCGTGTGAATGGGGCGTGGATCCGCGCCGGAATGGGCCTGAGAGTAATGTGCGCTGCGGCCCAGAGCTGGCGCGATTCAGTATTTATATACCTTTATATAAAACCTTTTGGTATACATACGTACTTGATACATGGTATTACAAGCCTTTGAGTTGATATAACAGCAAACGCCTGTGTGTCTGCTTGGTGCTTGTGTGTGTGTTAGTGCGCACAGAGAAAATGTTTTGCCGCATTCATGACATGTGAAACTTTTTGTCCAATTCTGTAGGCACTGATCAGATCTGTACCGTTTCTCTCCAGTGTAAATCTTCAGTTTTCAGAGGTGGTAACTGATTAAAACTCTTGTCACAGTCTGAACTTGTACGGTCTCTCCAGTGTGAATCATCTGGTGCAGTTTCAATTTTGTAATAAAAGTCTTCTCACACTCAAAGCACAAATACTCTTTCACACCAGTGTGGATCTTCATTTGTTCAGTAAGGTTTGCTGATCAGTTAAAACTCTTCCCCACATTGAGCTCATGTGAATGGTTTCTATCCAGTGTGGGTCTTTATGCGTTTATTAAGGTCTGATGAGTTACTGAAACTCTTCCCACACCAAAGCTGCGGTCACACTAGAGTTTGAGCATGCAAAATTGTGTTGTATGTCGCTCCGAAAAGTGGCGGAATTAAACAAAATGATTAGACATTTCAAAATAAGGCGATTGGTCCATATTTTACATTTCTGTCCAGAGAGGTCATGTTTTGATCTTTTATTGGTCTCACACAGTCAATTAATGCGATTTTGCAGGTCAGAGTTCACAAAGCTTGACCTTTGCCACGCAGTAAACTGCAAAACTTGTGCAGTGACGCATTTGCGTGCGTATGAATGGAAGTCTATGGGGAGATAAGTCCAGTGTGACCATGGCTTAAGTGCAAGTGAATGGTTTCTCTCTAGTGTGGATCCTTGTGTGTTTATTAAGGTGTGATAATTGGCTGAAACTCTTCCCACATGTGCATGTGAATGGTTTCTCTCCAGTGTGGATCCTCATGTGTTTAATAAGGTTTGATGATAGGCTAAAACTCTTACCACACTGAGTGCAGGTGAATGGTTTCTCTCCAGTGTGGTTCATCATGTGTAGATTAAGGTGTGATAATTGGCTGAAACTCTTCCCACACTGAGTGCATGTAAATGGTTTCTCTCCAGTGTGGATCCTCATGTGTTTAATAAGGTTTGATGATAGGCTAAAACTCTTCCCACACTGATTGCATGTGAATGGTTTCTCTCCAGTGTGGATCCTCATGTGTAGATTCATAGATGAGGATCGGCTGAAACTCTTCCCACACTGAGTGCATGTGAATGGTTTCTCTCCAGTGTGAGTCCTCGTGTGGTGATTAAGGTGCGATGAGCAGCTGATACCATCAGTCTGTAAATGAGTTTTTTCCTCAATTTTGACATGATGTTCCTCCTCTTTACTCCCCTCATTCTCTTCAATTAGGTCTGAAATAAATAAAACATTAGTTTTCATTAAGTCTTAAAAACTCATCAAAAGCTGAAAAGTGAAAAGACACTGGAAACATTGGCTACACACACTGTAATTTTGATGCACAATAAATTTAAATTAAATCACATCATATTGTGTTTGATCCACATTTAAGCAGATTCAATTCAATTCATCTTTATTTATCTAGTGCTTTTATAATGTAAATTGTGTCAAACCTGCTTAACATAGAAGTTTTAGTAAATTGAAACTGTCAGTCATTTTGGTCATATGGATAAGACACATATTTGAAAGCTGTAAATGGCTTATTTTTTTTTGTATACATTCATAATTACAACAAAATGTTTTTCTAAAAATTGTAAAGCAGACAGGGAATACTTGTTCATTCTGTGCCTGACTGGTAAACACATCAGAAAAAAGGTTCTGGGGTAACAGCTGAACAAACAGCTGAATATTTGCCTCACAAACATGAGATATACCTGTACAGCATCTGCATAATGGCTGGAATGTGCACCTTTCCCCTTGTGTGTTGTTGGGTCATTTTCATCCATTCTGGGGTGATTTTGAATCTTAATTTGGCCAAAACTTTCTCTGTGCTTCAGCAAACGGGATGATATTTGGGACATCTTATTTTGACATAATCTGGGAAAATGCTTTTTTTTTAAAAACTCAGTACACTCTGGGCAAATTTACTTTTGACTGTGAATGTAGCGGAACGGTAAGTTGGGAGAAAATGAATACTAAACTAAAGCCGTCTTCGCCATCCTGATCACAGGGAATTTACCACAGGTTCTTGGTGTAAGGAAAAGGCATGAGACATGAATACCAAAAAATACAAAACTTTATTTTCCTTAATTATCCAATATAAAAATCTCTTTTAAAAGCTTAATCGCCAATAGTAGCAGCACAGTCACGTCAAGAAACAACAATGGCAATGGGAGGAGTTAGAGGTGGCACAGGTGGCAGATAAACTAGTTACGTAGCACAAAACTCCGTAAAAATACAAATGGTTTTACCGAAGGGCACCGCACACAAGCATACGTGAGCACACAACACACACTGCACTCCGTGTTGTATCCCACCACCGCACACGAGGGATAACAAGTGGCCTGCCTGGAAGCCTCGACTCCCACAATGCAAAAAAAGTGCAATTAACAATTGTACACAAGTCACAATCTCACACAAAAGACAGGAATCCCCAAACAAATAGATTCATAAAAATATCTCCTTACAAGAGGAGAAAAACTCAAATACTACTACTACCACTACTACTACTACTACTACTATTAATAATAATAATAATAATAATAATCATCCCAATTTAAACTTACGCAAAAGAATAAACTTCCCACAGGGAGCCCAAATAAAACACACAAAACAATGGATTAAGCACAAATGAAGAAAAGTAATAAAGCACAGAAAACAGATGAACTCCCACACACAAATGTATCAGCTGCTATAGCCTTATTGATACACAATTGACTGAATCCGTGTGTAAAGTTCACAATGTGAAGGCAAATAGCGTCAGTGATTCACAGCGCAGTAGTTAATATCTTCACATTAAAGTTTGCACATTAATCCAGTATCATATGATGAAAGCACGCATCAAAACAAACTCCAAGCAGCATCAATAAAAGCAACAAGATAAAAGCAGCAGTATCACAATTGCTGCTCCAGACTCTCCAACAGTCTGTCCCCCAATCATTTATCCTTCCTAAATGGATAACAATATGTTAAGTTGCTAAACAGATCGCGCACAATTATTTAAAATCATAACAAACATACCTTTAGTTTGCATACCACTTTGGAAACATGCACTCACGAACGCATTTGAAAATTAAAAAGCCCAGGAAAAAAAAAAAAAAGAAAGAGCGATCCTGCTGGGGTGACAGCGACACTATCAATCACTATCAAACTAGCCAATCTTATCCCCAGACGCTAGGAATTTAAATACAGCCAGTTAATATTATAAATGACATGGGGTCATATTTTGGTGGTAGGGGTCTCCAACAACAGTCTAATATGCATGCAAGGTCAAAAAACACTTTCATGGTCTTGTAATCTGCATTTATTTTTACCTAATTATCCCAGCGACTGCCATATGAATCGTCCAGTGATTCATTTGGTCCCAAAACCCTTTTGCGCTGATTGGACCGATGACAGTCTGTTGCGATTGGTCGACACTGACTGCCTTCAGAGTGAAATGCCCAGCAGCTAATCAACAATATAAAAGTAGTCAGTGCATATACGCTTCATCGTGTAAGGCATGGATTTTGGCTGCCAGTGGGTGAATGTAAATATTGACAATGGACTTGAAAATAGCGATGACTAACTATTTTATTAAGCAAAAACTACAAGAAATGGCAAGGAGATCTCCTAGCTTGTCACACTCTGCTCTTTTCAGGCTCACTCATATACACACAAACACACACACACTTTACCCTCCTCGGAGGAGGACACCACACACACAAAAACACACACACATTACCCTCCTCCATGAAGATCCGTAAACAAATGGACACGTCGCGTTTTTAACGTGGCTTTACACGGGATATGAGAATATAGCGAGTTAACCTGATACAGTACACGCGGTTATTAGTAACAAATAACAACTAAATACATTTGCAAGCTAGAGTCAACGAGGCAACAACTTTAATTGCACGTGCTTACACTTGAGAAATGGAGGAAGAAACTGATCCAGGTTCTGACATAGTCCATCAGTAGTTAGGGATGTCCCGATCCGATATTGATATCGGAAATTCGTCCGATATTAGTCCAAAAAACTATATCGGACTGTGTTAAAAATCTCCGATATAAGCAGTCCGATACTCTCTAAACTCCGTTACAGCTATTCTATCCAGCAGCGTCCAGAGCCAGCGTGCAAAGCCCACGTGATCACAACACGGCTTGCTAGCAAAGTCTCTAAGATTTAACATGCTCTTCACACTAAGTTACAGTGTATCACGATAGAAATCTATTGTGACGGTAGCACACGCTAACGCTAGCAACAACGGCACATCTCTAACGTTACTGGTTTATTTACTTCACGTCAAGCGATCTTTACATTGTTTTGCTTAAGGCTGCTAGGCAACATAAGGCACAGAATGGCGACATAGCGCACATCGTGCGAGCCTCAATTCGGTCATGGCATATCGTGGTTCATCCAGTGTGATACCTAATTCATCACCAGTGCTTCCCACACATAAAACTTTACCTCAGCGGTCCGGTTCAGTGTGCATGAGAAAAGTCTCCGTCACAGGCTCCGCTGCAGCAGACCCACACAGACGCGCTGGACACCTGCTCTGACTTTAGCTTTGAGAAGAGAGCGAGGACACGCGGGAAAAAAAGTCTACAATACATTATCTTTTTCCCGGACATGTCCTCTATTTGGGACTTAAAAATTGCATTCAGCCAAGATTTAAATCGCCGAACATGTCCCGGATTCTGCTTTCTTTAGCTGCGTTTCTACAATATTTTATACGCAAACTTTCAATCTCAGTCTCTCAGCAGCACCAAGAGGGGGAGCAGATTTGACCTGTCAGTGGTGCACATGAATAATAGGAGTGAAATAGTGGATTTATTATTCTTTATTTCATTTTTTTTTACTTGAACACTCTGAAAGGAACAGTGTCATGTAAAATGCTAAACATTTTTGTTGTTTTCATTGTCTGTTAAATAAGAATAAGAAATCATTCTGTTGCTGAGGGCCATTACAGTTTAAAAGAAAGAATGGTATTACTTTTGGGGCAGAAGGTAAATTTTATTAGAGACATTCCCATGTTTAACTCTTCTTTAAAAAGCCCAGAAAGATAAAGTGCTCTGATAAACAGTGTCAGCTTTGCACATCAGTTTGCAGTTCTCTTTATTTACATTGTCTAATTTTCCCATGTGGGCAGTAGGGTGGAATCTGTGCAAATATGCAAATATAATGAATTTTGATAAATAAAACTATTCTTAAAAATCACATTATTTCAAGTGCTGTGGGGAAAAGGTGTGTTTCAATCTAGCCTCTGCAAGTATTTTTATGTTACATATAATATGTGATTATTATAAAATTAATAATGTTTGGGAACATTTATACAGCCTTAATCTTCTTATGATACAAACACAGATGAAATAGCTACGATCATGTAAATGTTTGTACTAACAATACTGCACATTTTTATTAACTTAACAATAAATTATTTCTGCTGCCCAGTGTGAAAGCTATTTTTCAGCTCAGCTGGATCAAAAATTTATCAAAAAGCTGTGTGTGAAATTGAAATTTTGCACACTGAACCTTTAGCAGTTGTTTAATAAACATTTTTTTTTTCTTATGTTCCTGCTCTCAGCTGTTTCTACTCTTTGCTGATGGTAAAAATAAATAACTGAAGTGACCTTTAATTCGCATTTTGCACTTTAAAAATGTATTTTTGTTTATTCAATTAAGATATTTTTCAGGGTCTTAATATTTATTCTTTAGTTCATTTTATATATTCTTATGTAAAAGGTTCACATTTATGCAACCAATAGTTAATAAACTGGTTGTTTTTTTCATACTTAGTGTTGCTGACTTGTTCTCAGTTTGATCTAGCCTTTCATACATTCCACTCAACAAAATAGGTAAAAATAAAGTTTTCATAATTTGTTCTGATATCGGATTTATATCGGTATCGTATCGGACTGATGGCTGCAATATCTGTATCGTATTGGAAGTTAAAATGTTGTATCGGGACATCCCTATCAGTAGTCTTTACTGATCCTTCCTTTAACAAACGGTCGATGAAGTATTCTTTGTAAGCATGTAGTTTCCAGAAGCACTCAAACTGCTCAAGGCTGAGCTAATGCTGAGGTTTCATCTTTGGGTAGATACTCAATAATATCCATCTGCACATTGCAACTTCATT